ACAGATGCCAATAATCACGCGTTCCTATCTCACTGCTGCTATAGTCACCACCATCGGTTGTTCTCTTGAGGTATTATGATCCATCTTAAGGAAAAAAACATTGGATTTATCAAGATTGGATCTTTATTGTTTTCTTGTTTGAGGATTCTGTATTTTGGTAGGAATGAATTTGGATTTTTCTTAATTTTCTTTTCATTTCAAGATTTTTACCGATAATGGATTTTTTTTTGGGGGNATTAATTTGGTATTGTGGCATAGTTGATTGACTTTTGTACTTTTCTTGAGGCTGACTCTAACTAGTTTAGGACTGAGAGCTTAGTTGATTCATGATTAATTGATAATAGTATTTTGGGTGTAAATTGCAGATTATATCTCCCTATAACTTGTACCTGAACCCCAAGTTGGTGGTGAAGCAATACCAGGTCTGGCGCCTCATTACAAATTTTCTCTACTTTCGGAAGATGGGTAATTTCTCCTCTCCCAGCAGCTTTTTTTCCCCCAAAAAGATTATATCCTCCTTTATTTGAACAGCCATGCATCTATTAAGCCTTTAATGCCGCTCATTTGTTCAAGAGCTATCGTGGCTAAATAGTGGGTTTAGCTAGATTTAATCCATAATGGAAACTAGGCTTATCCCTGCCTCCTATCTAGTGCAGTCTGTGAATTTCCTGTCAATCCTTTATACAAGTTTCTCTTTCAATTATGTATTTTATTTGTGAGTGCATCGGAGATTATGAGATGAAGGCAGGATGACTTGCTATGAGGAACACATCAACATGAGAAGATATTTTCTCGCTCTTTTTCTATATTCTGATGTCCTTTTTTGGTTGTGGTGTTTTCAGACTTGGACTTTCTCTTTCACATGTTTTTCCTAGCTCGGTACTGCAAGCTTCTAGAAGAGAACTCCTTCAGGGGAAGGACAGCAGATTTCTTCTACATGCTCCTGTTTGGTGCAACTGTTTTAACTGGAATTGTTCTTGTCGGGGGGATGATACCTTATGTCTCAGAGTCGTTTGCGAGGATCATATTCCTGAGCAATTCACTGACATTTATGATGGTTAGATCCTCTGCAGCAGAACTCCATTTCCTACTCAGTATTTGTGGTCTGTCTTACCTTTTCCTTTTTCATCTTTTTGTTTCTCTCTGTTTGTAGGTTTACGTATGGAGCAAGCAAAATCCGTTTATCCACATGAGCTTTTTGGGTCTCTTTACTTTCACAGCAGCTTACCTGCCATGGGTTAGTGTCTATTACTTCATCCATCATATTTTGCTTTCACAAGTCTTTAGCTTTTAACTGCGGGAGCTGCTTCACCTGTGATTTGTCCTGTAGAATCTTTGTTTTTCTTCTGCTAGGTATGACATTAGCAATTTGCCTTTGCTTTGGTGCAACCCTTAAGTAGGCTGCACTTACTCCAGATATTTCCTCACTAGAGCTAAGCTGCTGTAAAAGTACATGCTGCAACCAGACACATTGCAGAACTCACTTGGTTCTTTTTTTCATCTGACATTTTACATGAAAGAGCTACACTTCAAAGCTCATGCCTAGTGGATTTGGTTTTCCTTGTTTGTATATGCTAGGAAGGATTTGGCTCAATGCATTACAGATGAAAATGAACATATAATCAAGGGAAACCACTTAAGATTTTTTTTGATACAAAGGACTTGTGCATTTTGGCGCACAGGATGTGTGTTGCATGGTCTACTTATGCTGGCATGGTCAAGGATGCTTCTGATGTGAATTACTAGGAGATAATCATTTATTTGGAGATAGTACTCTGTTCAAAATCTGCCATATATCTTTCCAGCCTTACCGTTGGTTCCATGACAACAGATTTGGAATTGAGGATGGCTAATATAACAGTGGACTGGCATAAAACTTGGGAAAACAATTTAAGTTTGATAGCAGGTGTGACAACTAATTAGGACAAATGCTAAAATTGTAAAGATTAATGGTTAACTCTCATGAAAATATGCAGGGCGAAGGAATATGTTACACGAATGTTGTAAGTTGATAGTTTAAAAGACCACCAATTAGATGGTTGCAGTCATGTCTACCTGTTAATATGAGCAATCCTTATATGTTGTGGCTTTTTTACTCGTCTAAGTACCTAATATCTACTTTTGGTTACTTGGAAGAAAGAGTTAAAGTGTTAAACTACCAGGAATCTACCTTTAAAGGTATTGGTATCAACTTGGCAAATCAGTGCATTATAAACTATGTTTTTAAAGAAGACTTCATAGGTTGCAATTGGGGTAAAATATTTTGTAGTTGCTAAATGTGAGCTGTCAAACCCGAAGGGTTACAGCAGATCCATTACCAAAATATTTCCCCCCTCCATTCTTTTTTTATTTTTTGTGATAAGGTAAAGGTTTATTTTTCTCTTCATCCCTATTCAAATGTGCTTGGATTTGGATGTAGGCCCCTTATTCATTTAGTTGTGGGTGTAGCATATGCAATCTTAGGTGGTGTTTTGCAGTCAAGACGGTAAACCTTGCAGTATGTTGATTTTGAAAATCAATGTTGACATGCTCAGCTCATTGGTTGTCATTATTACATGAAGGGGCTATTTCCAGGGCAATTTTCTTAGTCTTTTCATGTTTTTAGTGTATAGGATCTAACTGGCTTGAAACCCTCTCTAGGACATAGTATGGAAATCTTCGTCAGCGTAGTCTTGCACAAGAAAAAAACACAGAGAAATCCAGAAACTTGCTCCTTAGATATAGCTCAGCCAGTAGCGTCTCAAAGCACTCAGAAATTTGAGAGACAAGGATGTTCTTTCTTGAGAGGACTGCTAAAAGGATAGTGACATGCTAATAGAAACACTTAATTGTTGAATTGGATAGAATAAGGAATCCATGATACTAATATTTAAATGACGGTCCCAATCTTTTTATCCTGTTGTAGTTTCACTTCCATGAAGTTTGATAGGTGTACTTGTCGCGGATAACTTAATCACACTTCTTTCCCCTTGTTGCAGGTTCTTCTGGGTTTCTCTGTGCTTGTTGGTGCCAGTGCTTGGGTGGATTTACTGGTACACTTCTTGCGACCTGTGTGCTTCTATTAGGTTTTTACTTGTTTCATCCTTACCTATTAAAAAAAAAAGATTTTACTTGTTTCATTCAACAATATGAAACTCTAAGAGGTTTAAAGTTACATGGTTTTTACTCCTGGTTGAGCCTTCCTGTTGGATATCTTGCCTGAATCTTAGATAGAAATCCTGCCAGCTAGGATTTTTGACTTTCTCATTTAGTGAGAGAGCTTCCACTTCTTATCTGCTTTTCTTAACTTTTAAGAATGTGTGAGCGTCTTCACCAACCAGCAATTTTCATGTTTTCTGCTTAGGATTTAGCCAAAGGTGCTGATACCGTAGTATATTCTTGGCAAAGCAAAGCAATTCTCATTTTTTTTCTTAATTCTTAAATTTTGAGAATATTCTAGGCTGCAAAGCAACTCGGTTGCACTAGGAAGGGCAGAGTCTAGCATTTTAAGGCAGATTACTGTTTAGCTTACCAACTTTTCCTCATGCATTTCTTATATAACGAGATTTGAAATGGATAGTTGAACTCATGGATTTTGTACATTTACTTTTGACTAGTTTCCTTTGTTGTCACAATACAGCATTATGCTAAAGGATGCTTTTCTGTTTGAACTTTCTACCTGCATCTGTACCTGTTGTTTTTATGCCAGCACTCTGTTACCTGTACCTTGGTTTTTTAAAACTCCTTTAGAGGACTTTGAATATTCCTATTTCCTTCCATTTACTGTCTATGACAAGCAATTTTGTGCTATACTGAAAGTGAACATTCTTGTTTCAGGGAATGATTGCAGGCCATGCTTATTATTTCCTGGAAGACGTCTATCCACGAATGACTGGTCGTAGACCCCTGAAAACTCCAGCTTTTATCAAAGCAATGTTTGCTGACGAGCCGGTAGTGGTGGCTCGGCCAGCTAATGTGCGCTTTGCTGCTCCTCCTGTCGATGAAGTTCCACAAATTCGATGAGCTCATTATATAAGTAAACCAGTGGCACTGGCTTCAGTTTCTGTAAATTGACCCTAGATATTTGGTTGGAGGGAATCAAGGTTATAGGTCGATGATGATTGTGCTGATTACCTGTCTTCATTCCTTGTCAAATTGTTGGTGTGTTGTTTACACTTAGCAATTTGGGTTTGAAGATGCTTTTTGTGGGAGAATTGCGGGCTGGTAGGGAAAAATGACTTTTCTAACAGAAATTATTTCATTAGTGTATACATGAATGGAGCGTTCGTTTTCCTCTCTCTTGGTCTTACAAATCCATTGCTTGGTGTCACTTTTCCTGCCGGCCAATTGCAGATTTTTGGTATTAGAGGGGTGCATTATTAAGTTTTAACCAAGAAAACTGGTTGTACCTAAAAAAAATTTTCCAGTTTGGGAGTAGTTTATCCATCGACAAGCGGAAAACCAAAAATTTATCAATTTGCTGTATTAGAAAAAAACCAAAACTGTGTTATTGTTGACGCTGTAAATTAGAAACAACTGACTACCTAGGCCTTTGATCTAGTGGTTGGATTGAACCGTATGATTCGAACTTTGTTAAACGTAAGTTACAAGAATGACTCTGCTGCATATAAAAGCATGATACTTAAGCGAAAACGAGCAGAGGAGCACACCTTTTAGTCATTGAATTTCAACGCACACTGGCTCTCCAGGATTTCGAACTTTGTTAAACGTAAGTTACAAGTATGACTCTGCTGCATATAAAAGCATGATACTTAAGCGAAAACGAGCAGAGGAGCACACCTTTTAGTCATTGAATTTCAACGCACACTGGCTCTCCAGGATTTCGAACTTTGTTAAACGTAAGTTACAAGTATGACTCTGCTGCATATAAAAGCATGATACTTAAGCGAAAACGAGCAGAGGAGCACACCTTTTAGTCATTGAATTTCAACGCACACTGGCTCTCCAGGATTTCTCAGTTAAAGAAAAGATAGAAGGGGGAAAAAAAAAGAGCTCTAGCCTAGTAGGTAAATAGTCACTACAGAGGGCATTGCCATTATTCAAATGGTGAAAGTTACATCCGTACGATCTTACAGTAAGGAAATGCTCAAATGCAGAACATCACAGTTAGAATGAAACAGTACAATAGATGACACTGAGGTAACCCTGTTGCATCATTACATCAGGACTTCGATACTTTTCACAAACTTGTGGAACAATTAATAACCAAAATGTTAACGATTCGTCTGATGCTTCACGCCACGACCACAGAAATAATACAATATAGGTAAAACAGCTTAAGCTTTGTTCAACAACTGGGGAAAGAGTTGACATCATTGGCCTTTCTACAAAATTAATGCACCTGGATCCTTTTCGCAGCTCCACTTTTCCTGCAGAATTCCACTTAGCTTCTGCAGCGGCAACCATGTGAAAGTGTAGGACTGACGATAAAAGTCTGCTGCAGCTAACTGATTGGGTGGTATTGTGCAGATACTCTTTTTGGAGGCAATTTTCGCAGGATGTATAGCACAAGTGCTGAAGGAAGAATTTCTACCAGCTGCCACTGAGAAGAATGTGATCAGAGAGAGAGAGAGAGAGAGAGAGAGCATGGAATAACGGAATAAGACATACCAGGTAGTATATCAGATTGAGAACAGGATGGTCCAAGACATCAAGAGATACGTCAGAATCAAAAGCAGATAACACAACCTGCAGTGAGTCACAAATTAGACATAACAAAGACGCTCATGTGCACAAAAGCAACTGCTGTTTAGAGATTTGAGGCAGGTCTGGCTCTCAAGTTCAAAGCAACATTTACTTTAAACCTGATATACTTTCCCTTTTCTTGATTATGTTCCTATTAAGGTCTTCCTTTTTCGTTTCTTTAATTTTTTCCCGGGGAGTAGTTTGGGTCATTTTCGGCTGAAGCCTGAAGACATATGTCACAGCCTTTTATCTCATAAAAATAGCCTCAATGTTCTCACCTCTTACAAGCAAAAGCACCAATTGTATAAAACCTCGTTTCCCTGTTTGGACCTCCCCATGGGAAGCTAAGAGTACCTCATTTTATTTACCAGTTTGCAAAAACTTTATAATGGAGCTAGGATTATTACACTATGGACAATAAAATGTTGACCAGCATTGAGAGAAGAAGAAACATATGCATAAAGCCTTACCACAAAGCAGCTAATGAGGAAACAGGTGAAACATATGGCAGTCACAGATCCAACCTGCAATCATATGCATACATCATATTATGTAAACCAATTTAGAGTAAGAATTGTTAAAAACTACAAGTCATGCATTATCTATCATGTTATGCATGTGTTAAGCAACATTGAGCTAACTGAAACTTCAGATAACACAAACGTATCCACATCACAATCTTTAACAGTGATGTAGAAGAGGTTGTTAGAACAAACAGATAGATCATGAAAATATTTTCTGGAGATTGGCCACTAATTATCAATTAAGAAAAGGAAATTGACACTCCGTTGGTTCACCAATAATGACAATAAATTTCTCTCTTTGTAAAAATCATAAATTAAAATTGTGTTTCCATTTAGTCGCACCAAACTTAGATATACTTTCACCTGTTGATTATTCATCAGCAGAGAAGAAAAGGAAATCGGCCAAGAGTAGTTTGTTTTCAGTAAATGTTGATTATGAATATGATAATCTAACAAGTATTCTGAGAGTGTGAAGTACTTCCCCGCAAGTTTATTTGGGGCAGTGACTAGGAGCTGAATACAAGGATTCAAGGGTGTGACAGGGGAGTAATTTTTTGTGTGTGCGACTATTCTATCGGGCAACTATATCCTCCCACTGGTACAGGTACGGGGATAAGAAGCAATCACCCAACAGGCCAACATTGCCTCTACTGAGGTACAGTGAGAAGTTATTGAAAGATGTGAAAGGAAATCAGCCCCTTGAAAGAAGCAATATCTCTCACATGGGTAAAGGATGAACTTAAAAATAGGGTATGACTTGGATCCTTACATATCTAAAATCACAAGTTCCAATTCCTGCTAAAGTTGAAAAACAAATGAATAAGTTGAGAAGTAACTTTTTATGGGGATTTAATTGTGAGACAAAGAGGATGCATCTGTTAGATAGTCAACTATGAGTAAACAATAGGGGACTAGGTGTGGAAGCTTTAGACTATTAATAAGTGTGTTATGTCTAATGGTTATGGAGATTTAATATCAACAAATTGGAGACGTGGAAAGGGAGGATCAACGCATAATATTGAATTGATGGACAATGATGCGCTAAAGCAGCAGTCACATCTTCTTATGGAGTTTACAGTAGAGAGACAAATAGGAAATTCTTGGAGAGAGTTTGAAGAGGTGGTAGGGTCAAAGTGGGTAACGACAGAAGAGCACGACTATGGCAAAACAAACCTCTGCAAACCAGCACTCTGAAAGAACTATTCCCAGATTTATATATTGTCTTTAACAAAGAGTGTTCGGGTGTACTATTGCAGAACGCTTCAAAGCAGGATGCTGGAATCTTCAACCTTGAATAAATTATCAACACTCTGTATGGAGTGCTAGTGTGGTAATAGTTAAATTAGCCAGAGTGATAGTAGGGGATCATTAGCCTGACTCCTTCCTTTGTATGTCAATGATTGACAGGAAAATCCTTAGTTAAAGCAAGCTATGTTTGTTGTTAAGGAAGACCTCTGGTCTATTGGCTCAAAGGACATGGAAGATGACTTGGAGGATGAGAGCTAGTTCCAAAGTGGCTGGTTTTGGATATTAGCCCTACATGAAGCATGTGTACAATATAACAGCCTGCAGAGGGGAATATTTCACTTATGCAGCGGACCTTACTACTGCAAAGAAGACTGTAAATTCATCTTGTAAAATTTGATGTATGCTTCTAAACCTGTTTGGGATTTTTCGGATGATCCCCGGGAATCTGACAGTGGCTGTAAACAGTTGGCAGGGCAGAAGATGAAGAAACAGAGAAGTTATGGAGCCTCTATTTATATTTTGGATGGTCTGGATAGAAAGGAACCACAGATGCTTTTAAGCATAAAGCATTATCCTTATCTCTTGTAATACTTAAATGCTTAAAGAACATGAACTTTTGTTGTAGCCCAATGCAGTAACTGATTTTGACCATGTAGTGGAGTTCATCGACTCCTTAGATTCTTAAAGGAGTAAATTCCACAGCTACTTCTCTATACTCTTAGCACCTTGTTGGTGCTGCAGATTGTTAATAAAATCTTACTTTAATTATCAAAAAGAGGACTCCAGAAAAGGGAGTCACCAAAAGTGGTTCCTTAATGTTGTATATTATAATTTGGCCCATCCTGCTCATGTAATTGGGCAATAAAGGCACATAGTTCTTTGTCACTTGACATCTTCCATCTATGTAAACCCAATCAATTTTGAACTGTCCCATGATGATTACCGTAATTACCTTCAACTGACATGCATTGGTAGATTTGATAACTTTCAGATACATGAATTAACAATTTCCCAGTTGAGTTTATGGTAAGTGGTAACACACATGACATGACACAATCTAAATCGGAAAAAGATGGTGTGCATCAGTCTTGAATCCCATACTGTTTAATGGTCCATTACAAAAAGTGTTACCCACTCAGTACTGAATAAAAATGTCACAACAAGGTTCCATCCTATCCTTGTTTTTACCATTTAAGAATTTGATTTGAATATAGACACAAATCTCAGGAATAGTCTTACTCACCACCATCTTGGAACCAAGCCAAGAAACTATATTAAAATTCCTTTATATTTTGAAAGAGTCTGGATTTTTCATAGTTAACATGCAAGAGAAGTTAGATCTTCAACATAGATATGAATCCGTTTAGCCGGACATAGTCACGGCTGGGGAGAGAAACTAAGTATATAAAATACTAAAGAAAGAAAAATAAATAAGTAAATACCAGTTTATCAAACCAACCATAATCATAAATGGTTTTTATAGAAACTTTAGGAATCGTCTGGTACAGTCGACTCTGGTACTACTCTTATTGGCTTTGCCTTAGTGGCTCCGTCTAGCCAGCTGTGACACTATAGCCCGCTGAAATTGTCAAAAGGGCTCTCTCTTTCACAGTTAGAACCGCTAGACACATGGGCTCAATAAGAGTATGTAATCGGTTGAATTGTTGTTCATATTGAAAGGAGTCGAGATTGATAAGGAGTTGCATTGGACCTAGACAGGCCCCTTGCTTGGGTAAAAGGATATATCCTTCCATACAGTCATTAAAGCTATAATAAAATTCTTGTATATTTAGAATCTTTACTGGTCGTGCGGATTACCGCCAACCTTTAAAGGTACTGAACTGTCCATTCGAATGTTATGTGGGCTAAATAAGCAGTCAGTCACTGCAAGCTAACAGTATGATATCGCAGAAAATTCCCAGGACATCCTAGGACAAGGAAATTGATCAATGGAACCAGACATCAAGTCGAAGAATTTCCCCCCTCGGTGCTGTAGGGAGGAGAATGTAGTGAGGAATAAATCTTATGCCTTACATGAAAATATATTCTATGTCAAACCAAAAACACTAAACAAGTTTGTATTTACATAATAAGAAGATAAATATGTAAATACACAAACCTCATGAAGCTTCTTTCTTCTCCCTTTAGATTCAATAGGAAAGCGCCGGAGCATGAGAAATAACCTGATGATTGTAAAAACTTGTAAATACGAATTCCCAATGAACAGTATCTAAGGTAGTTAAGAACAGTGAATTAGAAGATAAATGCACAAAGAAATAGCACTTAAATTCACCTTCCACCATAGAGCAGAAAGCCCAATGCTGCAATAAATGATACAACTGCACGAAATAAACATGCAACGTTCAAGAGATCTAACCTTCAGTAAAATAGGCAAAAGGAGAAAATGAAAAGATGAATATGAAGAAATTCACCTGCTATAAATATCTTCCCAACGAATTCCACAGTGCTATTGTCATTGACCCAGAGGTACACCCAGATACATGCCTGACCAAAACCATTTTTCAGTTGTATTTAGTTTATTGCCTGGGATAAGATCCAGAAAACTCAAGCAGCTAGTTAGCTTTTGAGACAAGTGGTCCGTTGGGAATATTTTACAGAGAAATCAAGAATAACAGACAGCTTTATTCATTTAGAAGTGATCCATTCTTTAGGAAAGGGGAGAAAGCTAGAGTCCTCAGGGGCTGGAATTAGGAGAATTTATCCCTATTTCAAGGCTAAATTTGCAAATGGTTTTGCAAATATTTATTGCAAGATCGAGGAAAGATATATATCCAACTGCTTTAAAGAAAATTAAAGGTATAATCGGGGCCAAAACCATAAATATTTGATAATGAAAGTAGGACCAGTTAGAAGGGAATGGAGGACTGAGAGGAGAATTGTTTCTGAAATGAAACTATTCTCCAAACGTGTTAAACCTAGGTAAACAAGGCATAACATTTTGAGGGACAGAAGAATATCTCAGAATTCAACATATTAAGTAGCATACATATGGTCGCATATTTATGAGACCACCTAAATGCAAGGAGTTATCAACCAGGACACAAATTGACTCGCTTGAAAAGAATTCACATATTACTAACACACAAACAAAACTAGTACTCCATGAACAATTACACTTGATCAACTATATTTCCTTATGAACAACCATGATGTCCAAAAGCATATGAAGAGGGGCCAAGTTGCAAACCTGAATGAAGTACATTGCACCATTTATTGAAATATAAGAAATTCTGAGTTTATCTGTTGGTAAACTCCTAGCCTGCCATTACATAAATGCAGGAGTTAGAATTAATAAATCAACAGTTTGCATGCAGGATGCTACAACTTCACTTGCCTGGTGATATATTTCAGCCCAAAATAGAACCAGGAGAGTAAATGTTGAAAAGAAAAGGAGCCCTGGTAGGTCCAATATTGCCAGAGTCAGCACCTGGTGTAATGCGGAGCAAATCTAACATCAGGAAACAATTAAGCAGCAGCTTAAGAGGCAGATGTTGTATGCTATTTATTTCTTTTTCTCAGGCCATCAGCCTAAAAGTGACAGTACTGCATTAGACCACCACTTCCAAATGAAGGAAAGAGATCATAGAAAGTGCTGTCAGTCGATTAATTTATTACTAACAGAATATTCATCACAATAAAATGACAGTCAAAGCTAAATGTTTGACAAGGCAAAAGTATAGTGCTGTAGATAAAGTAAAAACCTAAGCAGTTGAACAATTGCTATCGCAGTCAACCCAAAAGTTTACAGCAAGTAAAGGATGGGGTAATTATGTGATAAGCTTCAGACTGAAAAATGAAAGAAAGAAAGAATCTAGTGAGCTTTCAATCAAATTAGTTCACATATTAAACAACAAGGTCCGACATTATTGCTGTACTGCTCTAGTGCTACTAGACTATATAAGCAGCCAAAGAGCAGGATGAACTTCCGAATGAATAAATTAAGAGGTGAGGAATCTAAAATGTCAAACTATGCTCAAAGTTAAGAGAATCAGAGATATAAGATAGCCTGCAGCTCGAAGTAGCAACAAAAAAGTCATGCACTTCCACTTGAAAATGGTCCCATCAGGTTAAAACTTTTAGAGGTACAGCTTTAACTTAATTCTGATTTCCGATAGATCCTAGATTAGTTGAAACACTATAAAAAAAAATAAAAAAAATAAATAGTTCGAGAAAAGGGTAAATTGAGGATAAGAACAAGGTAACATTCAAGTTGGCATGCATTGTCGGGTTCTATTGAAAACAAACTGAACATAACCAGGAAAGAGATCGACAATTAAAAAGTTACTTTCAGGAAAAAATAACATACCTTAGGATGGAAGAGAAACACTTGTTTGTGAAATCCAAAGACAATTGCACGAACTGAAACAAAAAAGATTTGCATTCAAAACTAATTTCCAGATAAACAGGGGCAGGACGGTTTGCTCGACCTGAATCCGTACCTCCATTTACAACAAAGTTCATCAGATGGAAAACCTTTTGTGTTGTCCAACCATACTCGGGTACCCTCAATTCGATCCTTATTAATTGAATCTGCACACAATCAACTCACACACTCAACCCGAAGCCCAAAAAACTAAGCTTCACGGGAAAAATATGTATTTTACACATGCAGCATTAGGTATATACTTAATCTGAAACATATTTATCAATCAAAAGTATGGAAAACCATCTTTCCATGAAAGTCATCTGCTTATAGAAAATTACTTAAGCCCAAACGAAACGAGTACTCCGTAATACTCACATCAGACCTTAGATGAAAGATCAAATCTTTGATGATACAGTCATATCAGATAAATGAACAATAGAATCTACATGATAATTGGTGAAGAAATAATTTGGAAATCTCACATAGCTAACCAGACGCGTATCTAGGATTTTTAGAACATGGGTGCATCACTAAAGAAAAGAGAAAAAAGAAAGTATTAAGTGGGAATCAATCCATGTTCCTTTGGGTAAATAACTCAGGATTCAACCAAGTGCACCATTCAACCTTATTGGAGCATGAAGCAAGTAGATAATATTAGATCAATTCTAAGAAATGTTTACATAAAATACCTAGTTTGGCGGAAAGATCATGAGTTCATGTGCACCCTAACTTGGGCAATGAATACACCCCTCTAGCTAACAGAGACCAAAATTGCCATAAACATCTTAAAGCTATGCAGAATCCAGAGAAAATAAAGGACAGTACACAAACAAAAGTACTGAATTTGACCCTAAATATAGCTATTCAATAGTCTTAAGCTAACAGTCTAACTGAACAATGATTAACCAGTCAGTCCATTGCTAAAAATCTTTAGCCACATACTAAAAGCACCAAATATCCCGTAATTCTCTTAATGGAAGAACCCCTCAAATACACTTCGTAAACACACATCCTTGAATCATATTTTTGTGTAACATCTAAAAGAAAAGGTAAAAGCTACACTTCACTATTTCATTATCTAATTTGATTGTCAAATTCACAAACAAGAAAAGAAGAGAAAAAAACCAATCTTGACATAACCCCACATCAATTTACATACAAAATACAAAATCCAAGAGTCTATTTATACAAATAAAAGAGTAGGGGGGGGGGGGG